ATGAGTAAGCTTCTTTTTTTGTCAACTTGAAAAACATCATGCTTTACCTTTTTGTTGCATATGAGTTAAAATATTCTGAACCTTTTGACTTAGTTCATTGTGATGTTGGGGTACGACCACTTCATTCCACTATGGGAGGTGTTGAGTATTTTGTTATCTTGGTTAATGATTTTACTTTCTTTGCTTAAATTTACCTTTTAAAATATAACTAGGAGTTACCATATATCTACATTATGATTGTAGAATGACTCAAACTTTATTAACGTTTTTCATTATGAATATTGAATAATGCTAATGACATTAACTTTTTATTTAATATGTTGATAATAGTTTCATCGTATTAGTGATGCTATAATTAATTAAGTTTTGTATAAGATATGAATTTTAGTTAAAACGGGAGCGTAAATAGTCATTGCAAATGATGAAAATGTTGATTTAGAATTTTAGATGGGATCTTAAGAAATTATTTGGTGATATCAAATCAACTAATCATAAATCTAGTAGATATACAAGACATGTTCTTTTGGAGATTTTGTTGAAAATGATGTACCTCTTCTAATAAATGAAACCTAAAAATGATATGTGTCAGTTTTTTAGAATGTTTTTTTAACACGTGATATTTTTCTATAATTTTTATTATTTCATTTTTTTGGTAACAAATTAAATTCAACTCAAATTTTAAAAATACACAATCATATCCTAATAAAATTATTATATTTATTTTGCTTAACAAATTAATTCATAATTACTTACAATCGATAATATCTTGGGATTTTTTTTTGATATTTTTTATTTTTTATCTATATAAAATTTTAAATATATTAACCGTGGTTTCCACGGATTATAATCTAGTATTTCATATTCAAAAGAATACAATATTTCTCTTATTTTAACCCAACTCAAATTAACTCTCTAAATATTTTACCTTTCATCAAGTAAATTTCTTCGAAAAAACACTTATGTATTCTTTTATTTAGCACATAATATGGACTTTTGAAATAGAAATTATATATGGAAGCCTACTTGATCCATTTGATTAAATGAATGAGACAAGACTTATAAAGTGGAAAAATATTTTCTTTTCCACCATGTGGGATCAGTCCGACATTATAACTTTGTAGAGCAAAATTCCAATATATATATATATATATATATATATATATATATATATATATATATATACACACACACACACACACACACACACACACACACAAGTAGGTTAATGCGAAAACATAAATATTTTGCGAAAAAACGAATATATATAGAAGATTTGAATTTTGTAAAAAAGAAACATGATGCTTTATTTACATAACAAGTTTGAAATGTCATAGAATATCTCTTCGTAGGTTGTATTGACCTTATAGACTTACGGAGGCGTATTCTGATTTGGTGGAGTTTTTAGCTTCCTTATTCGATTTTCATCCGGTCCCTAGCTTCTTAGATTGTATACAACTACACCGATGGGAGGACCGGGAAGGCTTTTGATGTTGTGGTGTTGACTATTTTTTGGTGTTTATGGAATTTTCATAATTCCATTTTATTTGGGATGGTTTACCTAAAAAGTTTGATATTTGATGATGTGGTAGATATATGTCATGTTTGATATGGAGCATTTAGGAGCTTCTAACTTTTAGCGTTTGACAAAACGCTATGTTTTAAACAAAAAGTCTTATACACTACAAGTTTTTACCATTTATTTTAAATAAAACGCTATAAATCTAAAAGCTATCTTACATAATGTTTAACAAAATGCTATCAGCTATCTACTACCCGTTATGCATTTTTCCTTTGCTAGTTTTTCAATAAAATTCTGTTGTTTAAAAAAAATCAAGTTTGAAATGTCAAAGAAGATATTTTTTATATTTTGTAATCTTTTTTTAGGAAATGAGATTATTTATATGAAAAAAGAAGAAGCAATATTTAGACCAGAAAAGATCGAGGCACATCGATCTCCTATTCTTCCTTCAGGTGAATACCATACATGATTGTTAACACATTATTATATGATCTATTTTATTATTTAAAGATGTAAGAAACAAAAAGTTTATGATAATAATTGAGGGAAGGAGAAAAGGAGGGAAAGAAGAAGGACAATGTAGTTTAAAAAGGATACTAAGTTGATCACTCTACTTGTGAGCCACACCAAATTTTGTTATATGTTTTTTTTTGTTACATTTGACCAATAAACTAAGATTAAATATTAAAAATAACATTTTGACCAAAATTAAAGGATTTTCCTGGTTTTCGATGACTACTCCAGCAACACATAAACTTGTGTGCTCAAACAACTTTTGAAATTCTACACATTTAGTCACATTTCTTTATTTTTTTTTGTAAACATTTGAACAATAAAGTTCACGCTAAGAACAAATTTGACAATGAAACTATTTCAAATGTATCCAAAACACCAATTTACATATTTTGGTACAGCAAAAGGTAACAAACCATGAAAGTTTGTCCTGAATCTGTCCTTTTGAAATGCCATAATCGATTTTCTCTTTTATGATTCTGACCCAAATTTAAATTTTTACTACAAATTTGATCAAAACGTTTTTTTAATATAAATTTCTTATGTTATTTTTTACTATTCTTTACACATTGTTTTACAAAATTTTAAAGATCATTTTTTACATATTTGTTTTTGTAAAATTATGAAAGAGAAGTTTTAGAAAAACTAGTACAAAAATTATCAAAAACATAATTTTATACAAAAACAATGTAAAATTTCTAACAAAAGGTCGCTTATTTATTTATTTATTTTTATGAAAAAGTGAACTTTACGAAAAGAATATTCGTAAACAAAAAATCTAAGTTTAAAAACTATGAAGAAGAAACTAAGTTAAAAAAACATGCAAAATAAAATTTAAAAAACCTGAAGAAGGTTTTTAACAAAAGTTAAGACTCAGGTCATAATTGAAAATCTTAACTCATACGTTTTATAGCATGTGATTGGTCCAATACAGAATAATTTTAATGGTTTGTTATCTCTTATTATAATAAAGTTAGTAAGTTTATGTTTTTAAGTATATTTAAAATAGTTCATTGGTGATTATGACTTTCTTTAACATTTTGTACAAGTTATAAGTCAAGTGTGTAAAAAGAAATAAAAAACGATTAAATATGTATAATTACACAAATTGATTACCTTAAATAAGTTTATTGCTCGAACAAGAAATATTTGGAAACCAATAAAACCTTTAATTACAAATAATAATGGTCTTTTTTAATGATAAAATGAATATAATTGTATAATTATAAAACTTGTTTTCCGTGGTTTGAGAAGGAAGTAGATATACAAAATGAAGCGTTTTCTGGTATTTTTTGGTACAAAACAAATAGAATTTTTTAATAATTGTTTAGCATTTATATAAAACTAGAGGGATAACTAATCTTATATTTTCAACATAATCTTTTTAATGTTGTGTTATACATTGATAATTTCAATAATTTCATTATTACACAAGTCCATTATTGTAATTTTGTCTTCCATATGGACCGTTTTATAATTTCAGTATTACATAGGGACCGTTTTTATAATTTCCATATTGTAGAATGACCAATTCTGCAATGTCGTTATTATATGAGAACAATTTCTGTAATATCCAGGGTCCTTTTTTTATTCATTTTTCCCATATGGTATTATGCATGGATCATTTTTACAATTTTGATATTATACGTGGGCTATTTCTGTAAGCTCGCTAATATATATGGATCATTTTTGTAATATCACTATTACATATGGACTTTTTTTGTAATTATTTTTTATAGGGACCATTTTTGTAATTATTTCTTATAGGGACCATTTCTGTAAATCTTAATTTCTTTCAGGGACCGTTTTGTAACTTTGTAAATCTTCTAGGGACCATTTCCATAACTATTTCCTAGATAGACCATTTTTATAAATCTTAGTTTTTCCAAGGGATCATTTCTGTATGTTTGTCACCAATATATTTTTGTAATTTTTTGAAAAATAGACTCTTTTATTTTTCCTGATAATAATTAAAAAAATAGTAGTGATATGATGTTTTCATGGATTTTTTTTTTTTTCAGATTTCAGTGTAAAATCAAATCTCTTAATCATTTTTACTTCTACCATAATTTTTTAGCCGACATAAAATTTTGTCTTTTTGGTTTATTGCCATCGAGCATGGTTTCTCGAATTAAATAATCAATTACGAAATGGCAAAATGTCAGCTGTCACTGTACAAAACCTAATTGACAGATTTCCTCATGTGTATTATCAAATAATTCAAGTTGATTTCAGTGTATATTTAAATCAACTTTTTGGAGGACAGAAATGATTATACGTGTTAAAATGTCTAAATTCAAATTCAATTCTACCTTTTTTTTTAAACAATTGCAACAACAAATATTTTTATATGTTCGTAAGTATTATAAGATATTATATTATTATAACACCGATATTTTGCTAAAAATAGACAATTAAATGTGCGGATAAGATAAAAGATAAAGTGCATAATTTTATAAAAGCAAACAAGTGAGATTGAGATGTAAAGCTGCCTCCAAATTCCATTATATTAATATTGATTTAATCTTTTAAATATATAATTTATTAATTTGAAAATTAAATACAACGAACAAACCTATTTGCTTGTCTATGAATGGAATAATTAATATTATGTAATTACTAACGACAAACTAATTATGAATTTGGTCGAATACATGATAAAATAACAAATATAATAATTAAATTTGTATTAATCAAAGGTTAAAAACCTAGTACTATGTGATTGGTGCTAAACACAATTAAAAATTCCTAATCTAGATAACCTCATGATTGTGATTCTCATCAAAGTACGAGGAGTATGAAAATCTAATATTATTAAAACCAAACAAACATCAATTAATTAATTAATTAATTCATTAACTTCTAATATAAAGTAAGCAAATTAAAACAACAATAGCCTCAGCCTTTTCTTCAGGATTGTTAATGCTAAACACATAATTATTATCCATAATCAACAAAGAAATTAAGATCAAGAAGATGATGATGAACCTTTAGTGCAAATCACATTTCCACCGGTGCTAAAACTACCATTGTTATGAAGATGGAGGTGGTGGTCGATGTCGTGACGGGTGTTTCCGGAGTCAAGGTGGTGGTTGTTTCCGGTATCAAGGTGGTGGTTGTTTCCGGTGTCATGGTGGTGGTTGTTTCTTGAAATAATGAAATCAATGCCCTCACCGGAGGAATTATTGCCATTGTTGTTAGTGAAATCCTTCGGTTTCCCAAAAGTGGTTTTGTTGTTATGCATCCATACCTTGAAAACGCTTCTATCGACACCAATTTGGTTGCAGAATCCGTTAATGAGTTCTTCATCGCGTTTCTGCATCTTCCACCCAACTCTTTCCGCGATTTCATGCATCTTTTCCTTCTGATCTTGAGTGAATTTTGTTCTGAATCGTTTTTTCCCATTTGGGTTTGAACCAGAGGCGACGGCGGAGCCGGGCGTGGTGGGGATCGACGGATTGTGGTTACCGTGGTTGTTTTCCGCCGGCGGAGCTGTTAAACCGGCACTTAGTGCGAGGAGCATGTGGGGTGCTGATGGGTAGTATGACGATGAGATCGGTGGTGGAGATGGGGAATTTCCCGGACTGCTGCTATTAGCTCCGCCAGCTGGAGGTGGTATGGGTTGTGGAGGTGGAGGGTGGTGGCGGTGATGGGGTTGGTACTCGATGACATGTTGGATGGGTGGGTTATTTGGTGATGGGAACAGCGACTCGTCTGGCTCACGGCGGTGGAAATTCCGGTGGCAGCCACACGCGGCGCATTTTAGCGAGGTAGGGTAAGATGGGGAGGACGTCGGAGACGGCATAAACTCCCCACATCCATCTATGGCGTGGCCACCCATGGCAGCGGCGTGGTTCTTGAGACATTCTTTGTAAGTGACCACCACTGGTGGTGGTTGGAGGTGGTGGAAGGGCTTGTGTCGTTTGAGGACACCGTTGGTTAACGGTGGTGTGAGTTGTTTAGTGAAGTTGTTCGATTGCGGTGTCTCTGAATCTGGATCAGGTGTTTTAACTGTGGCCGCGGCGGCGACGATGGTTGTGGGTGGTGGTGGAGTTGGGATTTCCATGGTGGGTTAAGAGAAATGAATTAGATTTGGGGATGAGGTTAAAGGGTTGTTTTTATTATCCATGAAAATGGACAGAATACTCTCTTTCTCTCTCTACATGTTTAGAGAGAAACAGACAAAACATAGGATGATGAATTCTTTACACACTATTATTATTTATAAAAAAAATAATAAAGTAAATAATCGAATTATCGAAAAATATTCTAAATAACCAAGTAACTACATAAACGCGTAAGTAGTAGTTGCAATTTGCATAACAACAGCATATACTGGTTCGACATGAGAGTAATGATTAAGAAAATCGATTGTGGGGATGACAAGATTATGATAAATCACTCTCATATCTTTTTTGTGTCTATGAATTTTAGACAGAAAATAAAATGGTATATATATGAAAGGTTAATCATTAAAATAACAGGTTTTATTAAAAAATAATTAATTCTTTATGGAAATTATAAAGAATTACCATCTGATTTCGTAAATAAGGTTATTATGATTTACAAATTTGCTTTTGAAAATGTGTAGAACACAATTTGTTTTATATGATGGTTGAATACATTGGGTGTATCAAGTCTTGTCCAACATGGAACACTTAGATCGCAATGGAGTACTTAGGGTGTATTGAGCATGAGACAAAGGAACGAATCATCTGAGAAATGAATAAATCGTCTGACAAAGGAATGGATCAAGTGCCAAAGGAACGAATCGTACAGAAGGGGATTTGGATCACCTGGAAGAGATTTGGAGCACTTCGGAGTGATATAGAATAACAATGGGACCTTATTGCGTCATCTGCTGAAGACTTGGGCCAAAAAGGATGTTATTGCGTTAATGACACTCCTTGCGCCAAGATACTCCCTCTTGTGCCATGGGGTACTCCTGTTGCGCAATGGAGCATGTTGTTGCGCCAAGCATGACCTTGTTTCGCCATGCATGTTATTGTTGCGTCAAGATGATGATGTTGCTCCAACCTAGATGTTCTTGTGCCACACTTGATGCCTCTTGCGCCATCCATATTCATGTTGTGCCATGATGGCTCGAGATGTACTATCGTGTTCCTTGATGAGTCAAGTATGCTATGAAGTCCTCTATGATGCTCAAGATGAAAGAATGTTCCAGAAGATGTTGCATGACGAAATATGATTGGTTGTCACCATTCATGGGCCTTGGGCTAATGGCCTCGGCCCATTAGGGTTTTATGTTTGATCCCCAAAGTATAAATAAGCTCATACCCTCATAATTGTAAATTGTTAGATTTCTGTGAGAGCTCAAAGTGAGATACAATTTTGAGTGCTTGTAATAGTTCCAGAAAGTTAATAAAATCATCTCTCTCTCTCTCTCTCTCTCTCTCTCTCTCTCTTTCTCTCTCTCTCTCTCTCTCTCTCCCTCTCTCTCTCTCTATCTCTCTCGTTCGCCAGTGGACGTAGATCACCTTGACTGAACCACATTAAATATTGTGTTCTTTTGATTTATGTTTTTCAAAAGTTTTTCGTGAGTTCACCGAAGTTTTTTTTTTGTCTGAAGTGTTGAACTTGTTTTGTTGTCACCCAACATAATATTACGAATGTTTATGAACAAGTATCTTTTTTGATGTTATGTTTCAGACTCATTTTGACCCAAGTTCGAACACACTTAACCACTTGGGTTGTGGTGACTTGGTAAGACATGTGGAAGATATGGTGGATAACCTATTGACCCATGTTCAAATCCTGGCACCACTCAACCCTTGTGGCCATGGAGGTTCGCCTGCAGTGACTCCAGGGCATGAGGCAAAACCTTATTTTGCAGTGGGGGATTAGTCGGTGCGCGAAAGCTGGCCCGGAAACCCTCGTTAGGGAAGTTCCCTTTCCAAAAAAAAAGTTCGAACACACTTGGGGTAGGATAGGTGGTTCCGTGTTGGAGCCTACAACCTTCATTAAATGGAGGAAGTTTTATCTCAGCATCGGGTTTCGACTCAGCAAGATTCCTCCACGGATACTGCCAAGAGTTGTTCATGAGCGATCAGTGTTCTAAACGAGTTGTTTCTAGATTCCAACCTCATGTAGCCAAACGTAAAATTTGTTAGGTTAGCGATCGCGGATGTGGTTTGCCTTTACCATAAAATCTTATTAAGGCTATCTTAAACTTACAACCCCATCTTATCCTAAAGATGTCAAAATATTAATAGGTAGAGTCGCAACCTTAAACAGGTTTATATCCAAGGCATCTGGAAGATGAAAACCCTATTACGATGTCTTAAGGAAGAACTAAAAGTTCCATTGGACACTAGACCATGAAAAAGCATTTTAAGAGCTGAAAAATATCTATTTTTGGCCCCTTTGTTGGCCAAGATAAATATGGAGAACCCTTATTCCTATAATTAGCCATATCCAAGAACGCCACAAGCATAGTCTTAGTCAAGGTGCATGATGGCACTCAACATGTCGTGTATTATGTAGGTAAGAGTTTCTTGGATGTTGAAACCATGTACTTGCATGTTAAAAAAAAAACTAATCTTATCTTTTGTTTGTGTTTCAACTAAAATATGCCATTATTTTGAATATCATCTTATTTGTATAAAAAGAAACTATTCGTTTAAGAATGTGATGAGAAAACCTGAGATGTCAGGAAGAATGGTTAAGTGGTCTGTACAACTAAGTACTTATGAATTAAGAAAAGAGCCAAGATCTACAATAAAATCATAAGCATTAGTAGATTTTGTAGCTGATTTCAGTTCACATCTTCAACCTAAAATGGAGAAGGAAATTCAACAACTTAAAGATATAGAATAAACAATGAAATGGACTCTCTTTAGAGATGGAGCCTCTAACTTTAAAGGATCGGGTCTTGGAGTCATACTAAAGTCGCAACAAGTGGACATTATACCCCATGTAATGAGTTGTGATTTTAAAGTAACCTAAAATGAGGCAGAATATGAGGTATTGATCTTGGGTCCACAAATCGCTCAAGATCATGGGATCAAAAAAGTTTTAGATAAATACAAATTCATTTCTAGTTACTAACCAATTTAGTGGAGAATATAAAGTAAAAAAATAAAAAATAGCTTTATACCTAAAGATAGTAAAGAGCTTGGCATCCAAGTTCCAATATTACATCTATGCCTTACAACATTTATTCATATCTACAGATCAAAAACCTTGGGGTGTCATGTTTGATACAGATCAAAAGCATAGACAATACAATATAAGCCTGACAACATTTATTCATATCTACAGGCCTATAATCCGTAATCCCTCATCCACACATCACATCTATGCTCGAGTGCCACTACTTGTAATACAAGAAAATGAGTGGGTCAGACTTGGGAGCCTGGTGAGCATATATGGTTTTCAACTCACAATAAATAAGTTTATTAATTTCATCAACCAGCCATAACCTGATTACCCGTCCCGTTATCCTCACTTTACGTCCTTAAACACCTATCATAAGGGACCTAGCCTAAGGATCATCATTGGGATGGACACTACTGCTAAGGGGGTTCCTCAGCAATAAATGTCTTAAAGGCAACCATGAGGAGGATGGAGTACACTGGTGAACACATTGTTCACAAACACCTACATGTTGCGAGTCTGCTAGCGTTCCACTAGACTATCTAGAAAAGTCTATGGTCATCATCTATACTCCGCTAGATGACTAGAAACATCGTCAACATCGAGGCCTCTCATCATTTTATTTCATCATACCCAACTATTACATCTAGCCATGATTTACCCAACACATTTTGTAGATATAAAATACATATACCGTTTAAATCATTTAAAACATGTATAAAATCTTTCATCCAACATAGACAACAAGTATTCAGACAATATGCACACATAGCACATAATTTATATAAAATACTTCATATCTATGTGTAAGATGAAAGTAACTATGCACTCACTTGTTACAGTGATGACTCGAAATTCGAGCAGCGCTTCGCTTCTTAACAATATGATTTCCTTCGACGAAACCTAGTATTATTACCACTATATTTTAGTCTAATATTTATTGCGACCAATTATTAGTCTAGATTCATCATTAACTCAAAGTCTACTTTCATGATCTATCAAGTAAGGCTCAGCCAGGCAGGACAATTGGGAGGTAGGACCATTTCGACATATAGCTTTTCTGACATCCAACAACCAAACCCAACGTGACCATTCTAGACACCTCTCCAGTAAGTAGTTCAATCGGTATAACGACTTTTAATCATTGATAAATCTTTTTTATAGTTTCATAATAACGATATTATATTTATATATAAGCTATATTTAAAGTATGGTGGGTGTATCTTACTTACAACAGATTTTTATTAAAAACCGGGCTTCGCTGGAGCAACGTTTCCGAGCCGAAAAGCTCTTTTTCTTGGAGCATTCGGGAGCTCCGGGGCTTCCTTCTAGTGCTAGGGGGTACCTTAGGCTTTGGGGAGTTGGGGTAGGCTAGAGACAGAGAGTAGAGAGAGAAAGAAGTGGAGAAATGATTGAGTTAGTTGGCTACCCTCGCACGTCTATTTATAGGGGCGAGGCTGCTGAGTACGTGCATCGTTCCTCGGATCTACGCGGGGCGTAGAGACACGAGTCGTAACTTTGGTGGATCGTCGTGACACTCCTCGGACCGTAGAAAACTAGACCGTGCACTCATGCAGCGTGGCTTCGGTGTATGTGGGGCGTACTCGTACGTGAGACGTCGGTTGCGAACGTTGGGCGTCCGAAGTGATACGTGTCAACACTGATTGCGAGACCGTGGGGAGTAAGCATCAGCTGGGATCATGCCACGTCATCAATTTCGCAGATTCACATCATGACTTCTAAAATTGATAACTTTTGCATACGAGCTCCGTTTTTGACGTTCTTTATATCCACGCATAGGCGGGGCCGTACAATACAAATTTCGTTTAGACTTCGTCGGTTAATTTTGATGTTATTTTTAAAGTTATATTTTTAACATGCCGAGATAGGAGTAGTCCGTTAAAAATTCATAAATTCTTCATCCGATGTCCGTTTTCATCTGTCTTTTTA